AATGAGCATTCCTACACTTTACATTAATGCTGCCCTGATATGGTGCACAGCTCCATTGGAAACAATTTTAATAAATTAATTATCAATTTACTGCTATTGCATACAATATATGTAAACTATCTTACCAAAATATTGTGATTAGAGCAGATATCGGGTTGGGCCAATGATCAGATTGTGTCTTTTTGAACTCAGAAAGTGAAGTCAGTTACTCCTCCAAACAGCATATCCAAGTAACTGACCTCACTTTATGAGTTCAAAGACACAATCTGATCAGTGGCCCAACTCCAGTCTGCTTACTAGGACTATCACCACATGGATGAGGTCATCATTTTACCTTGTGTTCCCATCCTTTCTGCAAATTCTATCTTTTAGAGTAGTCCAGAGGTCTCCAAACTTTTCTAAATAAAAGGCCAGTTTGCTATTCCTCTGACTTTAGGGGCGCCAGATTGTGGCCAGTGGAGGTACAAAATATTCTGGATTTAGTAGAAATACTAAGGTTCAGGCTTTGTGGTCATAGAAATTACAGAGCACCTGTGGTCAGTTGTAGGAACACTGTGCCCCATAATTGATATCATGTTGGAGGAATAGTGCCCAATCATTGGTGTCAGTGGCAGGAATTATGCCCCACTCTTGGTGGCACTGGAAAGAGTAGTGCCCCCAAGGGCCAGATAAAGACTAACAAAGAGCTGCAATTCGGCCCATGGGCCACAGTTTGTAGACCACTAGACTAGTCATTCTCAACCAAGATTCTTTGTGTTCTTTTAGACGATGCCAGTGGGTCCTTGTGCAATGAGCAAGTTCTAACTCTCAAATAAGTAACCAGTGACACCAACAATCTTTTTACCTATCTGTAAGAGGTGCATTCTTCTTGCCATCATTATAATGGGGCCCTTCTCTCACTAACCACCAATATAAAGTAACATTTTTCCCAATGGAAACCAATGTAAGAGGATTTCTTCTCCTCTGTCTACCAAAGTAGGAAGAAACCTCTCCACTGACCACCAGTGTAAGAGGGCACCTCTGAACACCAATTTAAGTGGGTTCTACAAAGACCACCAATGTAAGTGGTCCTTTCTTCACTGACCGCCACTTTTAATTTTTTTTTCTTGACGTTTCCTTTCTAGTCATTCATTACTATTCATTTAATTTTAATTACAAAAAATAATTTTGTCATATAAACCAGTCCTGTGTTTCATATACACCAAATATGTCATCTTCCTTATTCTTTTATTTGTTCTTATTTCTAATCTTATTTATTATGCTAATGCACTTTGAGCCATAGATAATATAATTTGAGCAAGGCTCCCTTGTTGGTAAGGCCTAATCAACGTAGCTGAAGGTTGAGAGGAATCACCACATGGCGTTATGCGAATGTAGTTTATATTGTAAAAATTGAATAGTCACAAACAAGGTATTTCTAGAAATCGCACTACATATATTGTATACTACATAGTTCTTCGGGCAGAAAAATGTATGTTTATCCACAGAGCAGTTTTCCAAAAGTGTTATGATACACACTTACAGATCACAAGAGGAGCACTTCCCGTGGAGGGGTGGTGGTATTACTGAGTCATACTGCAACCTCCAAAAGTCCTTGCAGATATCTGGCTGATAATGGGAAAATGCTCAAGGAAGCTGACCGAGGACATACCCTGTAATAGGAAACCTATTCTTTCCCTAAGATATGTTAACCACTCAAAAATGCATACCTGAAGCCCAAAGCAGGCTATAAATTAGTCCTCAGTGGTCTCCTGCTAGCCTGAAGAAACAGCACAGTGCCACCTCCAGGTTGGTGCAACCCAATACCTGCCTACACCCTGAGACCTGAAAGTTATTTAAACGTTTCGTGACCAGAGGTCTTTGAAGCTGAGCTGTGTAGGATACATTTAGCAACATCGATATGCATTGTTTAACTTGATTACCCATGATAACATTAATGATAACAATAACCTTTATATAAAAGGTCTTTATTACTCTGTTTTAATATCATTTTTGCTCTGGGGTCTTTTATGGGCTGACAAATTGACAACAATTAACATATATATACATTATATATATATATATATATATATATATATATATATATTTAAATACAACTACAGTACTTCACACACTGCCAAAGGTGTCTGCAGGCTGAGGGTGTATTTCAAGGGGGTATCCACAGGATTCATGTAATCATTATTCGATAGCTGACAGGATCAAGTGATCAGGATTTATTTTATTCAATCCCCAATCATTCATCGAGCTGCCTGGGGTGTTGGAGATACAACAGCATGTACTATATATAGTATTGTATGTTAATATCACTTGACCAGTAGATGGCACTGTACACTAAGGTTATTAGTTGTGCATATGTGTAAAACTTGTTGGTTCTCTCTTCTTCTCTCTCATCTCAAACCAAGATGTCTGCTGTCACAGTTTGCTGAAATGTGCTCTGTATGTTTGCAACTTAAGCCACACAAGTAAAACAGAGTTCTGCCTCATCACCACCAGTGTCTTCTCTAACACATAACCAACAGGGGGTTAGCGTGGTCTGACAGCTTGCCTACAGTGTCAGTTGCTATCTGTCAAAGAGGGTTATGTTCCTTTAGCATGGGCCGATGGGTATAGGAAGTTAACATAAAAATGGATTCCAGATAACTATATTAGTCGTAATATAAATAAATAATAAAACTTTTAGCTAAAAGCAGAAGAGCCATTTGCAGTTTGAAAAGCTATGATAAGCCGGTCCAGTACTTCTACCACTTCACAATCTTGTGGTCAGAAAGATCCATTTGTTGGATTGTTTTGCAAAAAAAATATGCACTTCCAAATGGTAGTAACTGAAAAGATGCCTAGCAGTATCTTTTGAACAGCTGATCAAAAAGGAATAGTTACGGCACAAACCCCCTCCAGTTGGCAGGCAAGTGATATGCACCTAGATAAAAGTAGAAAATCTCTTTGGTTTATGTGCACCACTATTCAATTTAACTACAAGGTCAGATTGCTGCTTTCAGAGGTCTGTCTAGTCATTTCAAAGCTGCTAAAGTTTTCAACAAGTTGTAAGGAACATGAACAATATGGCCCCGCTACATATATATGAATAGGTACTCTTCCCATTGATACTGTTAGTTTAGTTTACTACTGAAATTATAGCACAATGTTTGTATGAGGAATAATCTGCAGAGAAATGCTCCCCCCATCATCTCCCTGACTACTATATTCAGATGGATCATCTGGCACTTCAATCAGAAACAGTCTGAAGGCAAACACCTTCTTGTGGTCTCTCTTTAGAAAGCCCATAATGCTCTGTGTATCTTGGGTTACTAGTGAATCCCTACAGTTATCTTTGAAATGACCCTTCCTCCAGTATCCCCCTCAAAGTCTTATTCTAACCGGTCCTTGCTCCTGCCAGATCTTCACTGTATGGCCAACTAGAAAACATGCACTGCGAAGTCCCCTGGCTGGACAGCACTAAGGCCATCTCTTATACAGTACGGCTACCATAGAGAAGCATAATAGTTGGCTCCTTTATAGAAACGAAGGAGATTTTCTACACAGGCACAGAATCAGCTATCTGGGAGACTTTGCAGTGCCAAAGGCGAGGTCAGGTCAGGTGGGTATTCATTTCTGGAGGTTGCTGAGTGGGGAGGGCTGTCAGTTTTGTCATCTTTTGATCATTAATAATCAAAGCACTGCATTGTCTTTCATTTAATAGCTATCTGTCATGTGATCTTTTAAGGAGAAGATCTATGTTAAAATTGGTAGACTCTCCCCTTTCCTATGGTATTGTATAATGTGACCAAATGCCTAGTCTTTTGGTAACATGACAGCTAAGAGAAACATTTTCTCTGCATACATCAACCGTTCTTTAGCGATAGAGATGAGTGCTTAGCTGTTGACTTTTAAAAAAAAGTTTCAAAAAAAGTTCAAATTGATTTATTAAAATAATAATAATGTTTCATAAATAAAATCTAAAATATTTAAAAGATGTAAAATAATAATAATTTACTTATTCATAAAAGCTTACTTTATTTACTTGCTAATAACATTAATAACAGCTCTGAGGGTCTTTATACATGAAGGTAAAGGCTTCCTGTAGCTGTAGACTTTTCCAAAAAAAGTTCAAATTGACTCATTATTAATACTACTGCTACTACTACTATTAATACTAATAATGTATACAAATATTAAAATATATAAAACATATTTAACTAATGTAACATTATGATGATTTACTTATTAATAACACCTCTGAGGGCCTTTAGAGATGGAGGTGAAGGCTTAGCTGTAGGCTTTTCATAAAAAGTTAAAATAGACTCATTATCAATAATAATTTATAAAAAAAATAAACATATTTAAAACATGTAATATAATAATAATTTACGTATTAATAACAGCTTACTTTATTACTCATTAGTTCTACTACTACTAATAATAATAATAATAATAATTATGTATACAAATTTTAAAATATATAAAAACATTTAACCCATGTAATATTATAATAAATTACTTATCAACAGCTTACTTTATTTCTTTATTTACTTATTAATAACATCTCAGAGGGTTTTTAGAGGTGGAGGTGATAGCTTAGCTGTCGGTTTTTCAAAAAAAGTTAAAATTCACTTATTATCAATAACAATTTATAAAAAAAAAAACAATTATATTTAAAACATGTAATATAACAACAATTTAAGTATTACTAACAGCCTACTTTATTACTTTATTTACTTAACAATACCATTAAAAACAGCTCTGAGGGTCTTTAGACATGGAGAATAGGGCTTAACTGTAGACTTAAATAAAAAATTCACACTGACTCATTATTAATAATTAAAATAAATAAATAAATAAAAATATATATATATATATATATTTTTTTTTTTTTAAACCTGAATTATGTTGATAGTGTACTTATAACAGCTTACTTTATAACTTTATTTACTTAATAATAATTAATAATAATGATGCATTACGAAAATATATAAAAATATTTAATATAATATTCATTTGCTTAGATCTGCTTAGCTTACTTTATTTATTTTATTTATTTATTTCAGGTACTTATATAGCGTCGTCAATTTATGCAGCGCTTTTACGTATATATTATACATTCACATCAGTCCCTAACCCTCAAGGGGCATACAATCTAAGGTCCCTAACTTACAGTCATACATACACATACTAGGGCCAATTTAGACAGGATCCAATTAACCTACCAGCATGTCTTTGGAGTTTTATAACTTTATTTACTTAATAATAATGTTAATAACAGCTTGGAGAGTTCAACTTGACTCATTATTATTATTAATAACGATAATATAATAATAGTAATAATAATAATAATAATGTATTATAAAAATTTTGAATATAATATTCATCTGCTTAGTTCTGCTTAGCTTACTTTATAACTTTATTTACTTAATAATAATATTACTAAGAGCTAGGAGGGTTCAAATTGACTCATTATTATTAATAACAATAGTAATAATAATATATTACAAAAATATATCAAAATATTTCATATAATATTCATCTGCTTAGATCTGCTTAGCTTACTGTATTACTTTATTTACTTAATAGCAGCGTGAAGGGTCTTTGGAGATGGAGGTGAGGGCTTAGCTGTAGACTTTAAAGAAAAAGTTGAATTTAAATAATAATAATCATTTATTTTGAAACAATTTACATGTAATACAATAATAATTTACTTAATAACATTACTATTTGGTTTACTTCAAAAGCACATTTTGTGGAAAGAAGAAATACAATTGAAATCGCTGATGGATTGGATTATGAAGGGACTGTTTTGTTTATGTACTTGACGAACATTCAGGCTCCTTTTAAACTAACATTTAGTATAGGTCTTCTTTAAATAGAGGCCCGTATCTCAAAATATTGTGTGTCGTGCTGGAATTTGTTGGTTTGGTGTTATTTTTTGCATTATCTAACACCAATAAACAAGCAGCTGAATTTCCCTTCCATGGCAGTTAATGTGCCCAATTCCCCAGAATTCCCTCTTTTGTAAAAACTAATGACTCTCAACTAGAGTAATGTTTTCCTGTGACTCCAAACCCATTTTGCTTAATGAGGTACTAAGTCTTTATAATTAGACCCAGAAGGGAGCAAAGACCTGCCCAAACATACAATCATTACTCGGATAATTTATAGTAATGCAAAAATAAAAAAACAAAAAAAGCTCAAGAAAATATGAATTCTTCCCAAGAACATAGCACTCTATTTGTGTACACACTCCCTAGCATCCAATTACCCTATTAAAGCAGCATTTTGTTGCTAAGGACATTAATTGAAATGTAAATTAATTTATGCAGGATCACTTAATTAAGTTGATATGCAGAGATTGTGTCACGATGGCCTGCGTGGCTCTTTTTTTTTTTCTTTACGATTTTTGCTGTTAAATTCGGTTTGCGAGTTAATTTATATGTAAGATCTCGATGTCGGCCCCCTTTGTGGTTATATCTATTAAATAAACATGTCAACAACTCTTTTTTTTTTTTCCCTTCACATTTGCAACTCCAACTTGACTCTTGATGTTGAGAAATACTTAAGTCTGAAGTTTACAGAGCAATTAAACACTCTCACGGGAGTGACGATACACACAGACTGTCAGGGAACATAAATTAGTAATTCTTATTTTTTTTCCCCCTGCGGCCTCAGAACCAACAGCAAAAATTCCTGAGATCATCAACTATTTGTGCTTCTCTGGGACTCGTGTCATATGTTACATCCTATTGTAATTATGCTACAGTATTCCTCATCGGAGAAATAGCTGGGAACGCGCAAATTCAATTAGATTATTTTAATTAGTTATTAGGTCGCAGATTGATCTTCACGCTAGATGAACGCAACCTCTGTTCGTGTCGGAGGAGCTGCTGCTGCAATTAGGTGCTTTATAAGAAACAAGTGACATTAATATGTGGATAGACCCTGTAAACTATATTCAAATATTGTTTGCAATGGAGTTAAAGTTAAATTCCAGGCAGATAAAAAGAACATAGGCTTTGTTCACGCGAATGCGGTTTCTGATGCGACGGAAGTCGCACAGAATCACATGACAAGTAAAAACACATTGTTTTCAATGGTTCTTGCTCACAGCAATACAACTCAGCACAGTGCGATTTTGGAAAAGGTTCCTGTGCTACTTTGGAGTGACTTACAGTTTGACTGGGCCCCATAGAATATGCAAAATCACACTGAAAACCATGCTAAAATCGCACAGCATTAGTGTGTGATTGTGAAAGGTGAGCTAATGTGTTCGCTCACCTTTAGTCTAGGTTCACACCTATGCATTTTCCGGTGCGTTTTGCAGAAACGCACAGCATTCCATTTAACATGGTTTCCTATGGGACAGGTTCACATCTCCGTGTTTTCTCCAGGCGCATTTATTGGAAAGGGTCAGAGACTTTTTTTAAATGCAAAACGTTGCATTTTTGGTTCTATAGACTTCAATGGGGATGCTGCAGAAAAGCATGTAGCACTTTTTGATATATATATATATATATAACAAAACCACACCTAACTTAAAGTGTAATCATCCACAGACCCAATGCATAAATACCTCCCCCCAGAGGTTACAAATGTAGATACAGGCAATAAAGGTTGATATGTGAACAAAATGAATCAGTGTCCAACCAGAATAAATAATAAGAGTCCTTCCAAAGTTCTCCGTGTGCCCTGATAAAGTCTTCCTTAAATCCACCAGTTCATAGTGATCCTTAAAATGTCCAAAATTCCTCAAAGCAATACTTCTTCTTCTGCCTTTAGTATCTAAACAAAAATATACTAAACATAGTGCATTACCCTTAAACATAATAATGAATGGTATGTGTGCTTCCAAATATTCACACAACCCGTGACCAGTGATCACAAATATATCCAGCGGTTGGGGTTCCTGCCAGGGGCGGACTGACAACTCATGGGGCCCCCAGGCAATAGGGGACTATGGGGCCCTTGTGTCCTCGCCCACAATCAAACCGCACCCAAAAAAGTCTATGAAAGGTACCAGGGGCATCTCATGGGGCCCCCTACTGACCCTGGGCCCTCGGGCAGAGCCCGAGTTCCCAAATGGTCAGTCCGCCTCTGGTTCCTGCTATTTATCCAAACAGAGCAGTAACTCTCTTATATAATCAACATTTCTCCACGTGGTGTAAGTAAGTGCCACAGCACACAGCAATGAGTGGTCAAAGTGCAATCAAATCAGGTGACACCTGTCAATCAATGTACCTTACCAGATAGACAGGTAGTGCAGACTTTATTATAAACAAACTCTCTTGCTCCAGGATCCTTCTTACAACGTGGTGTCAGGTATCCTTCATGCAATGTGAATCTGTGCTCCAACATCCACAAGTGATCAAGTAACACATGTGATAAGAAATAATCCTTACCAGATTGACAGGTATTGCAAGCTTTAACTCAGAATTGATTGCTGTCCAGGTTATAGTACCAAACTCCAAAATCAGCATTGTAAGTACCCAAAATAAAAGTAAAGGATCATCGTTCAGAAGCTCTTTAAAATTGTACAAGACTTTAATAAAAGCACTTACATAATATGCAGAGTTAATGGAGTAGTGAAGATAGCCTTTGCAGAGTAAATACAGCAGAACAATTGCCCTTATAGCTCACTATTCTCAATGTGAAGTCCGGACCTCGTCCAAAATGTCCGCCTCGATACGTCCGGTAACATTTGACGTCACTTACTGGCGCGTTTCGTCATCACAACTTTATCAAAGGATCTCTCTGGTCCATCCCAGAAGCTCTGCACAGATAAGATGTAGAAGAGCGGGGATTTCAAATTCCTGGACTACTGGACCGGCTGCATTGGCACTGGCAGCTCAGCATCTCCAGAGGTATGTACAGCAGGGTGGTGGGGAGGGTGTACAGTGTTAGTTCATCTTTTCATTTCTTCTGTAAAGGTGAACCAACACTTTAATTCTTCATAACTAAATAATTATTCATATGTGCCCTGATCAATGCATTTCTTTCAAATGCAAACATTGTAAGTACTTGAATTTTATATGGCTTCAGCCTCTTGCAGTGTACAGCAGAGGTCAGAATGGGAGAGGGAGAAGCAACAGAAGGAGCCAATTACCTGTGCTCCAGTGTTTGGTATGCTGATAGGAGGAGATAATAAAGTGACAGAGAGATGTGTTCATAAGTTTGCCGTCACAGTCTCAGGTTGTGGGATGAACAACACCACCTGAAGTTCTAAAAGCCTGGGCAATACGTAAAACTTTGAATTTGTTGATCCCTGTCACTCTACCAAAAGTGGAAAAATATATGTCTGTTCCATACTCTATGGTCCCACTCTTCTCTGTGATTCTGCTATCTGATCTCCCAAAGCCCTTTGTGTTCTTCCGAAGGTCTTGTTGTGGGTCATCAATGTCATTATATACAGCGACCATGGCTGGTCCTGCCTTGTATGCCACCTACATTCTTGCACTGAAGAGAAGAAAACTGGACCACTGGCTGGCATGGGACTAAGGAGTAAAATAAGTAATACTCTCTGTTAAATCTTCCCTTAGAAAAACAAGCAATTTATATTTCATCAGCATTTTTTAAGAAAATGCCCAGAGTTATGCTTTATCTGTAACAGAGAAAAAAAATCAGGTTTTCAGCCCTAGGAGACAAAGCCGCGAGGCAGAGCTGTGTGACCCTCAGAAATGGATGAGTAGACATACATTAGTTTGTGTATTTCATCTGTAATTTAGTGATTTGCCAGGAGTTAAGAATCTATACTTCAGGATACATTTGGGATATAGTACCTGTAAGTCAGATAAGATGAACACAGTTTTTGCAGATAGCTTGAGAGAATTTACAATAATTATTGAGTCAAAGCCCATCATCGGGTACATTTTTTCATCTTCATAAAGAGCAGCGAAGGTTGTGGTTTTATCCTTGCTGGTGTCTCCATTGCAGAGATTTTTCCTCCAATACTGTTCTGTCTGACACCTGCCCAAAATTGTACAAGTTACCTTAAGAAGAACCTGTACTGTGAAAACTGTGCCCAAAAAAAGGCAAGTAGAGGGCAAAATATCAGTCACTAGTACTGCTTATAGGTATCCTGCATTTCCCTATTACTGTCATATAATCGGATTAATTTACTAAAACTGTAGGGTGCAAAATCTGGTGCACCTGTGCATGGTAGCCAATCAGCTTCTAACTTCAACTTGTTCAATTAAGCTTTGACAATAAAATATGGAAGCTGATTGGTTTCTGTGCAGAGCTGCACCAGATTTTGCACTCTCCAGTCTTAGCAAATCAACCCCCATGTCTTGTTCCAAACTTTGTATTGAGGTGGCCATCTTAGCAGAGGCAAGGCATTACTTTCTTATGTCCAAGATGATTCCCACCCCCATCTTCCCTTCAGAATAGTGGGCAGTAGTAGCATCACCAAACATAACTGCAGTTTTTGTGAAAGCAGCAGTGTCTTAAAAGTGTATTTCCACTATGTATTCAAATTTTAGAAACCCCTTTACAGTATATGTATTCCCATTCACAGAGCATTCTTATAATATATATCTCCCCCTGCTCTAGAAACTTGGAGAAGTTTTTGGAAGCAGTGGGCAGAGAGGTGAGGAGGGGCTGATCTGCAAACCTAGGAGAATCTGGCCAATCCCCAGGCAGGAAACCTATCATGGTGGCTAAATCAGCCCTTAAATATGAGAGAGCCTGGTCAGCTGGGTAGTCGGGTGGAAGATGGAGTGTGGAAGTACTGTTGGTGTGGAGTCTGGGAGGGAGCCCCAGAGAAGGGGGATCTGCTTACAGGCTGAAGCTGGACAGAAGGACCTCCACTGTCCCACAGTCTATCAGAGAAAGACAGCTTGTGAGCAGAGAGAAGGCCTGAAAGCAGATTCAACCTTAAAAGCCACAGAAACAGGAGAGTGTATTTCTACACCCTCTGGGCCAAAGAAGGGAGAGAGCAATCAGGTTCAATACCCAACAAGTTCTCCTTGGGACTGCATTCTTTGAGTGTCTTGGAGTCCTTGTCCTGGAATATTCTCAAGACAGCCAGGTGGATGAGATTTTCATCTGGTGTCTGAGGAGGTTCATTAAAGGGGACCAAGTGCTCCTTACAAAGACTGTGTACTAATCTGTCAGAAAGCAAGTGCCACTCCTGAAGGAATAGAGAGCCTAGGATCCATTTTGTGCTGTTTGCTGGGTTCTTGCCATTTTGCTTAAGAAGTTTGTCCTCCAAGCTGTTCAGTTCCATTGGGCATCTCATATACCGCTAGACCCCATCCAAGTTGTTTACCCCTAATAAAACAGCAAAAACCAAGCTCATGGACTGTTGACTTCGGATGAAAGTGTGGAAAATGCATGTTGCTTGATTGTGCAGAGCTTAGGGGGACCCAAAAACTCAGTAGTCCTCAAGAGGGTAGCGCTACACATGTAATAACAATACAAACAATAGTTATATTTGGCAATCCAATATAGGCTTGTTTGAAATACTTCCATTTATGTTATGAGTTCTGCCTGTCTGCTGGCCATCTCTTTCCACAACATCCTGAATTCTGCTTTGCAGCTTCTTCTCTGCTGTTTACGTTCCATTTCTAAAGACTACATGTCCCATGGTATCTTGCTGCTTGCAAGCAGTGATTCCTGTACTGACCCCGCCTCCTGAAACTCCTCCTCAGAGTCATGCACCTTAGGGAGGTCTGCTCTTACTCCGGAGTCCAGTGGTGGTGAAGTGTCAGAATAGAAACTCTTGGCTAGTATATGGAAGAAGCTGGAATCCAGGAGTGCCTTTACATACCGTTAAATACCTAAACAGCCTGGTATGGCTTTTAGGGGGAACCCCACGCACTTTTTCCCCCATTTTTGGGAAGTGGGTTTGCCCTTAAAAGTCCTACCAGGCAGTTTAGGTATATAACCACTTGCCACCCAGCCACTGTAGATATATGGCGGCAGGGCGGCACTCGCAGGCAAAACCACGTTTTAAAACGTGTGTTTTGTAAACAAATGGGGGCGCGCGCGAGGCGCGCCGCCGCCCTATCTGTCCCACCGATCACTGCCGCAGATGTCAGGCGCCGGGTCACAGCCGGTCCTTACCGGCTATCGATCGGCGGTAAACAGTGACAGAGAGCACAGCTGCAGTAGCTGTGCTGTCTGTCACTTCCCTGTCAGCTCAAGGATGAGCTGATCGAGAAAGAACAGTTTCTCTTTCTCGATCAGCCTTGTCCCGTCCAGTACACACCCCCGCCCCCTAGTAAAACACTTCCCTCACTCCTATAACCCTTCCCTGCAAAATAAAGTTAACCCCTTCCTCCCCAGTGCCATTAGTACAGTGTCAGTGTTTTTTTTTTTTTTTGCACTGATCACTGTATTAGTGTTTTTGGGGATGTCAGTGACTCCAAGTCAGTACCCCCCAATGTCAGAATGTCCGCCGCAGTCCCGCCATAAGTCGCTGGTCGCTGCCATAAGTCCCTGATCGCCGCCATAATTCGCTGATCGCCGCCATTATTAGTATAAAAAAAAACCCTAAAAATCCCAGTATCTTTCCCGCCATTTGTAAACGCTATAACTTTCACGTAAACCAATTAATTTACACGTATTGGGTTTTTTTTTTTTAGCAAAGACATGTCGCAGAATGCATTTTGGCAGAAATTTATGACTAAATTTGATTTTTGCATTTTTTTTTTACTGGACATGTTTTATAGCAAAAAGTCCAAAATATTGTTTTTTTTCCTCAAAATTGTCAGCCTTTTTTTTTTATAGCGCAAAAAAACAAAAACCGCACAGATGATCAAATACCAACGAAAGAAAGCTCAATTTGTGGGGAAAAAAAGGATGTAAATTTAATTTATGTACCGTATTGCATGACCACGCAATTGTCCGTTAAACTAGCGCAGCGCTGTATAGC